AGCTGACTTTTACTATGGCGGTACAAAGTGTGCCCTGTGTGGCCTGTGAATGTTAAGTGGCTGATGACTGCTCTACAGGGCAACTGAAATGAATTGAAGCAGCCTGGATAACTGAAATAATGTCCATCAAGTTTGACAGTTGAACAGATACTGCACTAGCATGTATGAAGGTAGTGTAATGACGTACATGAAGTGTTGCTGTGACATTGTCACTGAGCGGCCACTTATCTAGGGTTGAGCCAAGAACACACAGTTCCCACAGCTGCACCAGCAGATATGAAACCAACATTTGCAAGAAGGGGAAGAGATAAACAGCTACATTCGCTGGGTTTCAGCGATATTACTACTCGGCATTGACAGAAACTGAGCTGTCAACTTGGGTGGGTTGCCGGCTCGAACTAGCTAGCAAAGCAGCTAATGTGGCTAATGTTCATGACAACTGGTTTACTGCCCTGTTCGATTTACATATAACTATACTTACATATATAACCTAGATAACAAACAATTAATACAGCAAACGTAGATGGGCTGCGTTTCAAGCGTTGTCTTACGTTAAAGGCATTGAGCATTAGCTTTCTTGCCACCTTCAATGAAGCCTTTACCGTTAGCTCACGCTATAATATGGCGCACTGGCTGCAGGGAGCTAAGCCACAGATAAGTGGCCGGCTGGATAAACGTTACCATGCAAGCACAGCATGATGTCAAGCAACGTTAAGCTGTAAACTAACCTAACGTTACTGTGTGACACTTACGTGAGAATCTGTCTCCCCGGCTAAACTAGCCAGTCCCCTCCTTCTTGGTGTCTTCCTTGTTCTCTCTTATTTCGTCTCTTCTTTTTAGCCAGTCTCTTTGCCAGTGTATCAACCGTATACCTCCACAGAAAAACCCGGTCCAACGTTAAAGCCAATAAATGTTACGAGTGTGTCGCCGAGCTAGCGTTTTGAGGCTAGTTTAGCTCCCCAGCCAGCTGTACAGCGATGCTGGCTAAGTTGAGAGGAAAAAGCAGTCGACTTCACCGCTGCAGCCTCTTACGACGTCCACGCACTTGGGGAGGGTGGGACTTGCTGTGGCAGTATGGAGAGCTGGCTAGCGGCAGGCTAACTCGCAGAGCTGCTAACTACTTGTTAGCATCTGCCTGTTTGTCCTCTGATATCAGCCGAGCGACTCCTCTCCTGGAGACACTGATAAGTCAGCTGCTGCAGCCAGGTGAAAACTCCTTACGTCAGCGTTTTGCCACACCACTTTTAAGTACAACCCCAAGTACCGACAAAAACCCTTTTTTAATTTTATTGCAGCAGTGTCGCGGCTAATTACATCAAGAGAAGCCTGCAGAAATTAACTGAACACACGTTTCTTCCCTCCCGGCGAAACACTCCGCACTACACGCAGGAATGAACCGCTGCCTGTAGCCAGCGTAAGGAGGCGTGGCTACTGAGTGAGCAGAGAGCGTTTGACATTGATTGACAGAAAGCAGGATCAATCCGAAAATAAGTTCTGCATACCCCAGCCAATTGGATATTGGCATGTAAATGAAGGCGGGATCAAAGGCAGAACCATATTCGTACTCTCAGAATAGGACCACACCCACAGAAGTGGCCTTCACAATTTGGCAGAGATCTCTAGAAATAGTAGAAAATAAAAAAATATATACAACTAATTCAGGGAAACATGCCTGAATTTGTAAAGACTAAAGAGAAAAAGTGTTTTCTCTATTCTAGAGTATTTTCTAAGATGTATTCTTGAATGAGGGTGTGCTGCAAATAGTGTGATGAATTCTTGAAATAATACTTGTGATGTGATATGTAAATAAAAACAATCCTATATAACTGACTTCTGAACTTTGCTGCTCTTTGACCTGCAACAGCCCATCATTCCACACAAGTTTGTTTTATTAACTTTGCTGTGGTATGACTGAATAAAATACATTACACATCGGTACAGCTGAAAGTCTGCAGCAGAATGCCTTTCTTGAAAACCCTATATCCTCGCTGTTATTTAAGTACGAAGATTACAATTCTCAATTTCTGGCCCTGATCCCTTATTCCCTTGTCTAACCCATCCATCATCCTTTCCTTCCTTCCAGACTTTTAAGGCTCTTCAGAGGACACAACTATACATGCGTATATCAAATCTTAGTGTAACCCTCTAAATTGCATCATACTAGTTCCACCAGTCCCTGCATTTCTTTCTATTTTTGTACGTGCAGCTTCAGTGCATTGGTGATTATTGTGTCCTCTCACCATCTTCCCACTCTTGTTTACTTTGTTTGTCTACAGTCAGTTTTCCCCTGCAGAAATGAGCCTGTCTACGTGGAGCAGGATCACTGAGGGACGATCTACAGGTAGGTACCTATTCTGAGAGGTTTGCTAAGCACCACCACCGTGTAGCATCTCCTCTCTTCCATTTCTGTTCCTCAGCTGTCACAGAGGTAAAGCCGTTGCCATGGCCACAGCGAGCTCAGATTTAATTCCTCTTACCTGATTCTGATTGGTTTAGGTCTTTGTTTTCAACAAACACAGATGAGAAACAGAAGTCCAGGCTCCCTCTGCTGGGAGAATACACTCTGGTTATAACACATTATTTGAAAGGTTCCTGTCATGTTAAAGATACAGATGTTAACCCAGAGTGTGTAACCAATTCCAAGCTATGCTTCTTTAAACAACAGAACAAACTCCTCAAAATTAACCACATAATCAGGACAATTCTCAGTCTCACAGGGTAGATAATTACCCCGCTGATATCTATTAGCTTGTGAACCTTCCCTTAGTCTTTGCTGTATTTGCTGTATGTGAATTAGCCCACAATAAGACTCATGGCAGCATATCCCTCAAGGGAGTGCATTTTTCTGTGTAACCATTTCCCACAGGAACATAAACAAGTAGCAGTACAACCTATAGAGAAAGTGACAGATGAGTTTTCACATGTACAGCCGGGACTGGGGTCTTGGCTTTCCTAGAAGTGCCATCCTTTGGGAGTTTCTGCGAATGTGGTTCCAGTTAACTCTAAAAGTGTCTCAAGGAGAGCTAGCCTACATTTTCAGAGAGAGGGGGGAGGATAGAGAACATGGGCGAAGGAAGACACTTATTGTACACACTGTATGTGGAGGTGTGTATAGACTGTGTGCGTTTTAGTATCTGTCATCTCCAAACATCTCCATCTGGGACCGCTGACACACAGCCAGTTTTCCATTTAGGCGTTATCAGGTGTTAACATAAGGATGGACAAGGGTGAGGAGGATGAGAGAAAACAGACTGTACCATATGCTTGCAGTGTCTCAATGTAGGGAATAAAACAAAAGAAGAAAAGACCCATAATAATCTTAAATGACACTGATGGTGGTTTTATAACTGGAAGTTGTTATCAGGGGAATTATTGCTCAGATTAAGTGGACCACCACTAAAGATATATGGCGTGCATCATGTGATTGATGAAGGGTTTTTGCTTTGGAAACTACGTCTAGTGCTTATGGGTTGGGGGTAAGTACAATTAGACTTTATTACACCACAACAATTTATTGCACTGAGATTTAAAAGTTAGGGCTCTGAAAACAAATAAAATATAGAAATAGAAATCTGTATTTCTTATCTTCAGCCACCCTCAAAACCAAATTGGTTCATTCATGTCTTGCCTTTTTGTACACACTGACACTACATTCATACAACCGAGGCTGTCTCAAATTAATGTTGTGATACAACACCACCACCTACTGGCTGATAGTAGCCTGTTCAGACTCAAATCTCAATAGTTCTCAAATCTCAAAATGTTTTCCCGTATTGTTCTTAAATAATTTCACACGTAAAACATCACAGAAACCACAACAGCAATATTGTCTTGTCCCACCCAAATTCACCGGATCACTGGTCTGCAACGCATCATGAAAAATGTTTAGGATTCTGACAATATCTAACATAAAAAAAACAACATTCAAGGAAGTTGAAGACTGTTATGAGGTATTGTGCTGTCTCTAAAACAGACCCCAATTCACTTGATACCTTATTTCAATGCGCTATCACATTATAATTGATTATGTATTTATTTCCTATAATATAATGATATGAGAAAGCTTTTCTCTATCACACTTGTATGAATATTGTTTTTCATAACAATGATCTGTGTTTTAAGCAAGATCTTTACCAGTAAGTAATTATGGACAGAAATATTATTTTTGTGCGCACAGTTCAAGTAATGATGAGACATTTTTTAATTTGTTCTTAGTTCACGAACTGCAAATATTTGAGTCCTTCATTATTAGTGTTTGCTTGGATGAAATCTAAATAAAGTTTAAACCTTGAAACTAAAAAAGTGTAAATACAGCCTTTTGCATTTTGAAGGAGGTTCATAAATAGTAATCTCTAGTATTCACTTGTTTTTTTAACAAAAATCTCAACATGTACAAATGGAGAAAAGGCTGAGAAACATTACCAAATAGGGCAGTCTAGATAGACCCCAAAAAACACATCTGGTTCTTTTGTATTACAAATCATTCTGTTGATGTCATGTGATCAACAGAACTTCCTGTTTTTGCTGGAAACTAATGGAAAAAAATGGTTAATTCACAAATGTGACAGTCATTACATTAACCAGACGAGGACCTCATCTGTAATGTGAAAAACGGTGTTTTGATCCTTTATGTGTGTGTCTACAGGCACACTTAAAATAAACAGGTGTTTAGTTATGAACTATATCTCAGCATACACATAAACACTCAGAAACTGATTGGACAGAAATTGACAGAGACAGATCAACTATAAATAGAAAAGAGACTGACAGGAGAAAGACAAGCAGACAGACACAATTACTCAGACAGAAACTGATTTGACAACCAGGAGATGGAAAGTAAAGGAGAAACGGATCTGCTTAACGCAGCTCTGTACAGCTGATTTATATCAAAACACACTCTAATCGACTCACACACACAAACACGCTTACATACATGTTCAAGATTGTAATAGGGCATAAACAACACTAGGCCACAATCCAAAAATAAAGGACAATTCATATTCATATTCCCATACAAATCTTTTATTCGGGTGGAATGCTTATTACAAAACCTGATACCAGCAGTTTAGTCCTCAAAGATATTTGACCACATTGTCTTTGATTTAAAATGTAACAGAATGTTTAATGAAAGCAGGTCCAGGTCATTTTGTAAGTGGAGATACCTCAAGATGAATGTGAAAGTTCCTGAAAAGTAAATGGGAAAGAAGTAGAAGATTTCCCCAAACCTGTAGCAATAACACCCTGTTGATAAGATCTTGTTATAAAACTTTTTTTTAATACGCACAACGCCGACTCAAACCCACAGTAGTAAAATACTCTCTATGCATAATCATATCAGAAATATTGTCATACACTTTTGCGATTGCTGACTGTACATACTTACAACCTTGAACAGTTTCCATCGAAAAGAAAATATTGTGGACTTTCATGTAGCATAAAAAGTAAAAATGACAAAATATGACGATGGTTTATGATATAGAAAGTGCCTTGTCATGATGTGTAATCAATATATAGTAGCCTATACATAAAAGGAATACCTATAAATACTCTACACAAGATAAATAGAAGATTTGTAAAATACATTTTTGTATTTCCATCAAGGGTTGTTAGCAATGCTATGCTTTTATACACTGTTTTACAATTAGGTTAAGTAATCAAGCAGTATGGCCACTAAACATTGTTTTATGTTATTAAAAGCAACAAGATTTGAATGTTTTTGCTCCAAAATGCAATGTCAACCATTCAAAAATGGCATCATAAACTACACGTATAGATTAGATTTAAATGGGAGGATGTGAATTCATTACATTACATGATGAATTCAAGGTAGAACCTTTTTTCATGCATTCACAGCATTTTGGAGAAGTCCTCTTCAATCCTTGCTCTCTGTTTGAGCACTGCCACTAGATTTAATTCATGCAAAGTGCACTGAATCATTCCAGCGCACTCTAATCGCAGAACATTACAGAAAGACTGGCCTGTGCCCATTAGTCCTCCATCATATATAACAAGCTCTTTTCTTAGAAACAGTCATAAAGTCAAAACACATTTTGAATTATTTCCTTTGTATTTTCTCTACCTCACTTAACATAGAACTTCAGGCATAAAATAAAAGAGGTATTAACAGTTAAGTGAATTATTACATATTAACAGAGCAATGCATCTGTACATGGCTATCTCGCAGTATGACAACATCCACCACTTTCAAATCAAAACAAGGGATAGATGGGGGCAAACACATAGAAACTCTAAATAAATCATTACAAATGTTGTGTTGTCAGTAACAGCAGAGCAGCCTGATTTAAATTCAGCGAGTGTCTTATTATTCACTGTGGCCTGCGACGCTAATTGTTTGCTCTCTTATCTCCGCGCTCGCACCAAAGGGAATCCTCACAGCAGCGAACTGAACAACCAGCTCTGAAAGCGCTTTTCATCCTGCACCGTTAACAAATACACATCTTTCACTGGCTGAAAAATCCAAACAAAAACTGTGCTGCCATGGTTACAGTCAGCTACTCTCTCTTTTCCTCTCACTCCATCTGTCTTCGCCCCCATAGCAGTAATATGCACTCTTGTAGTCTGACAGGTAGATTAGATTTGTTGGATGTTCTGTTACACAACATCCTACGAGTCTGAATCCATTGTGCAGCAGGGGTGCCATTACCAGTTTGAATACACCTGGGACTGTGCAGCCTTTGTGTGTGTGCTGTGCCGGCTGCCGCCCAATCAGAAGCAGATTGTGTTTGAAGTGCTTGTGATAAGACGCTGGGGTTAAGGGTCTGACTCCCACTGGGACCCGTGAATACATTACATCTCAATCTGTGTCCCTGGCAATGTAACCTGATATCTTCCTCTGAGGCCTGAGAAAAGCAGGGAAGAGGATGCGTTTACACCCTGAAAAAGGATAGCGTGAAAAGCATTCTTTGTATCATTAATGTCTCATTTTTCATTGCATCTCCATGGTTTTATCACTACATCAAATACAAAAAGGATACAAATAGCCAAACACCTCAGAGCTGTCTGCAGGGCATTTGTGGGTCACATTAGCACACACACACTCATTGATATCAAGTTTTTGCATCCCTGTGTTTCCTCTGTTAAACAGTTCTCTGTCCAAAGAGCCTGAAAAGAAGAACATAAGCTGTTGCTGTTCTGATAATTGAGCACTGGGGGCAGTGTGGGTGGCTGACAGTACGAGATGTTGGAATTAACAGCAGAACAAGGGGCTCTGTGATGGACAGAACAAAGAGCGCTGGTCACCACAGCAACAAAAAAAAGGTGGAGAGAGAGGGTGACACGGGGTGAGGCAGGAGGAGACAGGGTGAGGGAAACGAGAGGGAAAAAGAGACGGAGCAGGCCTGAAGCCAGAAATCCATCTCATTCTATAGGTCTTGTAGGGATCACCGTGGTTACTATACATGTAAAATGGAATAAAAAAATTCTACATTGCCGCCGACCTGCTGCCGTGGTTACACATGAGTAACGGTCACCGTGGATACCGCACTGTGCTTCCCCTACTCTCTCTGCGTGAGGCCTTTTGAACTCTGTGTGATAGAGAAAAGAGCCAGAGGGGGAATGAGATGTGTTTCCTACAGAAATGCACGATGTCTGAAGTCAGACACTGATATGAAAGCCACAACATGTTTGCTCCCTTCCCATCTTTGATGATTATGGTGGAAAAAAAGGCCTCCTGACTCCTCCTCATGCTAAATGAATAGGTGGAGGAATCTCAGGACGCTTAGCAATACCTGCTAATTACAGCCTACCTGAAATATCCAATAATGAGCTCAGTGGGTTTCTGTCTAGCTTATAATTACCGGCTACCAAGAATAAAGGCTACTGTGACATTATTGCTATGGTTTGGTCAGCCACTGCTGACTTTGAGTGCTCCACACGGCTGGGAACATTTTGAAAGTTGACAGATTCAAACATTGGATACATATAACAAGTGAGATGTTAGCTTGACCACTGCTGCAGCTACTTTTATTGTAGATGCGATCAGATGAAGCCCAAGCTATTCCCATGGCTAGCATAAAATCCATCTTTTTAATTATTTGTATTATTTCCATTCTAAAATCAAATCAAGTTCATTTTCCATATCTTTTTAATCCAATTTGATTAACTGAAAGCTGCTTCAAACCCTTTCACACTTCCAGGAATAACATCCTGATGGAGAATAGTCTTCAACTACTGAAAATGTATCTATAAAGTTACCATCATGTGCGGATACAGTAGTTCTATTTCCCAAAGCTGCTCAAATGTATTTTAAGATCAATGAATTATATCAGATTGTTGCGGTGTTTAGGTTCAGAAGTTAAAATCTCAGTAACATCCCGTTCTGTCCCTTCGCCTCTGGAATTCATTCTGGACCACATCCTGTTTTCCCAGCAAAATGATAACTGCAGCATTGTTCTGAGGGGTTGGGATCGGACACATCCACATGAACAGATCTGGATGAAGTGTCCTCCAGATGCCAGATGCTGTGATGAGAAGAGATCTCTTCTTTTGTTCTCAGTAACAGAGAGGGGGCTCCCTTTCCTTTTCCATCTGGTCTGAGCTTAATGAAGTTACAGCTTCAGAGATTGAGCCTAACAATGTCACCAACTGGGACCGGAAAGGTCAAAGGTCACATGGAGAGGGGACCTTTTGAACTTTGCTTTCTTTCTGTAATTCCCACCTGCAGAGGGAGATTGAATATATTATAACTTATAATGTAAATGAAGGTGGTGGGGAAGTAATCCTAAAGCTGTTATAAGAAAATATCTTAAACAAGGAATAGAAGACTCTTTTGCTAGGATCCATCGAATAATTCACTTAATTTGTAAAACAACATGACCAATGATTATTACTTGATTTAAAACTAGACCTCAGGCTTCACGATTCAGATAAATGGATTACGACATATGTAAAGTATAAGAGCTAAGCATCTGTCTCCAGGCCAAAGAAAAAAGGGACATGCGGAAAAGTGAGGGGAAGAGAGGATGTGTTATGTATACACAGACACATGTACTTAAAGTACAGTTTCTGAGCCACTATAAAAGTGTCAAAAGTGGTGTTTTAGGTCATTTGTAAAACACTGCGCTCACAGAGGAGAGTTTTAAGAGAGCTTGCAGTTGCTTGCTGAACTGTCTCACTGAAAATCTGCTTTATATCCACTGGTCTTACACACACGGACAGAGACAGACCTGTCTGCTGAGGAGCCATGATCAAAAAGTAAATGTGCCTGTGCCGATTCATAATGTCTCACATTAGGTTGGTCATCAGTTTTTAAAAAGCTCTGGCTTGTTTGTATAATTAAGGGAAAAACTTGAATATTGCACTTTAAACCCCAGCATGTAATAATATAGCTTAAACTTCACTCTAGATGCATCTCACTGAGGTCTAATGGAGATAACCACATTTTTATCCAAATCTGCCCATGACTGAAAAACAAGGGAAACATCCCAGCTGCTGAGTATCTTAAACAGGAAGTAGTTTTCTGACCCCATCATCCAATTGAAATCTCTATAACCTGGGTTGATTGATAGGTACACAGGAGAGGTGGATATACTCTTGTTTGTTAAATTCTTGCCCGGAGGATATTGTCAGTACACTTTTTATACTGAGAAAATAATGTCAGTCGATCGGCCCGAGTGTGTTTCCCACACCAGAGTGCAGTAGTGTTGTTATGCCTCTTGGGACGAGGTTGGCAGTTTCCCATGGAGCTCCTACAGGTTGTTTCTAGGAGCCTTGTTGTTACGGCGATGTCACAGCTGGGATGCGATCTGTGATCCAGCCGGTCACCTCCTTCAGCGTGGACTCAGACACCTCCGGGAGGTCGTGGTGAAGGGCGTGGTAGGCCCCCTCGAAGACCTGAACAGACAGCAGCAATGAGAGAGAGTCAGAGAAATGGGATGTACGCATCGAGGAAGATGTTAAAAACGGGGTAATTTGAGATAAGTGCCTTGAGTGTCATATTTCAGGAGGAAACTTGTTTTCTCTTCTGCTATGATGTTCTGTGTGAACAGCGTCTTTTAAATGAACTGCAGTCCAATGTCAGGCAGATTCAGCATGCTAGCTAAACCTGCAGGGAAATACTCAAAACCAAAATAAACAAGGTCCTCTATTCTCCCATGGGGGCCCTTATGTTCTTGCTGGGCACCATCGACTCCAAATGGGTCTCCTCTCACGCGACATGAAGCAGGTGAGAGGCGCCTGTTGTGTGTTTTTGTGAAAGAGCTGTTTTGTTATCTTTGATTGAAATATCAGGCACGGGTGTTGCAGAGAATCTAATTTACAAAGTCTCACAGAGGAAAGGGTGTGTGGTTAATTTGTACGTGTGTGTGTAATCATGCAAAAACTTCAGTTCCAGTCCCAGGAAGTGCATCCAGCCTTTCCTTTTGTGTGTGTGATACTTTGTCACCTAAAGGAGACACATTCCTTCGTGTGAACAGTGTGTATTTTCAATGAACCGTAGAAGAGATAAACACACTTGCAGGCCCACGCCCTGTATTTGCCTGTGTGTGGGCAGAAAACACAGTATACGTCCGTTTTGTGGTGGTTCTACAGTTGGTGTTGTGTGTGTACATACTTGATATGTCTGTCAGTTATTGCACAACAAAGCCGGCCTTTCAGAAAACTCTGTAATCACAATAGAATCCCACATTCTGCTGCTGACGCTTCCTTCAGTGTGTTGGAGGAAGTATATGTATCTATGATTCATTCAAAGATAAAAAAAGTACTTCATTTTCTCATGAGACGGTTAACAGCTACAAAGCCAAAAAGGGACATGGAGGGGGAAATAAATGGGCGGCTGCTATATATCTTTTCATTAAGGGTTTTTGGCTTTACAGCTACTGTCGCTTGAAAAATGGCGATATAGGGAACTGCATTCAATCATTTGAATGTGTGTTAGTCCACAAATTAGGCAATATAGCTATCTAGTGCACCTTTTGTACCTAGCCCAACTCCTAAGCCACACTCCAGAAGACTACTCCCCCATGAGGAGAGTGGACATTTGCTCCAGAACAAACCCTTAAGTAATTTATTTCAATCAATTCCCCTCAATGTTTCTCCCCAAACCCTAAACAGCAGATGACTATGGCATGTGACAAACGTTGTTGACAGGATCTGGCTATTGTAAAGAAAGGTATACTTGAGACAATGTGTAAGGTGTCAGTTTTGGAGCCATTGCTTTAACCCTTAAGACTAGACGGACATATTGTGCATGATTGGGCAGTGTCATGCAATAATAGTTTTCCTCACAATCTTTCATATGCTTTGGGAAAAGATTCACCTTGTTCCTTTACTGAAAATAAGACTTTAATCATGGGACAATGTTGTTTTATGTCACATTATATCGTATTATTATTTTTATTTAGTTGTAGGTAATCCTAAATAATAATTCCCCAGCATGAATAAGAGATCAATACATTTTAAAATAGCAACATCATGTGAAACTGTTATTTCCAACGTGATAATTCCTGTGTTTTTATTACTGAACTGTTTTTATTACTGAACATTTAGTTGCATTTTGAGGTAGCAATGTAAATGTAGCTATCATATGTATTACTTCAGGCAGATGTGTAAATGAAGCTTTAATGTGAATACATGAGGATATAATGTGCACCAACATCTAACCAAGCCCCTGGGATGCTCAGCAAGGCACTTTATGATCAGCTTACAGTCATTCATTATTTAAAGCAGTAGTTCATGTTGCCCAAGAGTGGCCATCAGCTGTGTTTACATAATAAAATGAATAGAAATGGGCATGTGTGTGATGATGTGAGAGCACATGTGGAACTTGAAATCATTCATATTTAATGTAAGGGAACTGTGGGTCCTCATTTATTTGTATTACCATTAGAGCTTCCTATCCATTTATTTATGAACCTAACTCCAATTGGCCAACTTTCATAGTTTTCCCTATTCAAGGTCCTCTATTCTCCCATGGGGGCCCTTATGTTCTTGCTGGGCACCATCGACTCCAAATGGGTCTCCTCTCACGCGACATGAAGCAGGTGAGAGGCGCCTGTTGTGTGTTTTTGTAAAAGAGCTGTTTTGTTATCTTTGATTGAAATATCAGGCACGGGTGTTGCAGAGAATCTAATTTACAAAGTCTCACAGAGGAAAGGGTGTGTGGTTAATTTGTACGTGTGTGTGTAATCATGCAAAAACTTCAGTTACAGTCCCAGGAAGTGCATCCAGCCTTTCCTTTTGTGTGTGTGATACTTTGTGTTGATTGTATTGTGTTATTTTTAATGATCAAAACAGGTGCATGTACTTTGTCACCTAAAGGAGACACATTCCTTCGTGTGAACAGTGTGTATTTTCAATGAACCGTAGAAGAGATAAACACACTTGCAGGCCCCCGCCCTGTATTTGCCTGAATGTGGGCAGAATTGTCCAATTTCAGGCAGATTCAGCATGCTAGCTAAACCTGCAGGGAAATACTCAAAACCAAAATAAACAGACACTTTTCTGTGATGAAGTGACGCCTGATAACATTCGGTTCAATATTTGGTTCACCAATTGTATCTCTCTGATAAGACATGTGCTAAAGCAGTCCATGTACCTCATGAGCAGGTACATGGACTGCTTTAGCAAGGTGAGAAGTGGTGAGGAAAGTGGTGAGGAAACATCTTCTTTCTTTTTACTTGCCCTAATTACAGTTTTCATCCCTCTTGGTTTGACCATGTGATTTAAAAAGAGCGTGTGAACTTCCTTCTTCACAAACACACATCCTCCCGTGAAGAGGAAGAATCTATAGTAGCCTTCTGTCTGTCTGTCAGTGAACCATGCGGGACTCAGCACTACAGAATGTGTGTGAGGAGGCTGAACATATATTTGACTGACAACATAGTTTACTTTAGGCATGGACCTTCTGCCCATCTGCTGGGTTTTCAAAGGTGAATGTATTCTGTATGCATTTTACACTGCTTAAAGTTGCACTTTATGTAACGGTTAGATCGAAAAGCAAAACTATTTTGCCTTCAACCCTTCAATACGATACATTGTTTCCCAATGTTTTGGTCTCAAGGTTTGTCTCAATGTGACGATTTCTTCTGTTTAACCTTGCTTTCCAGGCAGTCCTACTGCCTTAAAAATGATTTCAAATAAAGGCATTTTTCAAAGCAATTCACATAAAGTTTTCACTGAACAGCCCTTCCTCACCTTGAACTTCTTGTCGGAGCTCGCAGCGTTCTCGTACATCAGCTTGGAGCCTCTGATGTCGCAGAGCTTGTCGGCGTCGCCGTGCAGGAGCAGGAAGGGCCAGCTGATGGAGGGGATCTCCCTCTCGATGCGCGCCGCCGCCCCCATCAGCTGCATGGCGAACGACACCCGCATGCCCCCGTGGAAGTTCAGCTCATCGGCATCATACGCCTCCACCTGGCAGGAAAAAATAAATATAAGAGTTATTGAGCAAAGTTGATCACATGTCTCGCTGGTTCTGATTTGTTATTTATTCCATCTTTATTTAACCACAACAATAAACCTTGTAGATGAATTCAAATATGGAACAAAGTCAAGAAAATAAGGGCCCCCATGGGAGAATAGAGGACCTTGAATAGGGAAAACTATGAAAGTTGGCAAATTGGAGTTAGGTTCATAAATAAATGGATAGGAAGCTCTAATGGTAATACAAATAAATGAGGACCCACAGTTCCCTTACATTAAATATGAATGATTTCAAGTTCCACATGTGCTCTCACATCATCACACACATGCCCATTTCTATTCATTTTATTATGTAAACACAGCTGATGGCCACTCTTGGGCAACACGAACTACTGCTTTAAATAATGAATGACTGTAAGCTGATCATAAAGTGCCTTGCTGAGCATCCCAGGGGCTTGGTTAGATGTTGGTGCACATTATATCCTCATGTATTCACATTAAAGCTTCATTTACACATCTGCCTGAAGTAATACATATGATAGCTACATTTACATTGCTACCTCAAAATGCAACTAAATGTTCAGTAATAAAAACAGTTCAGTAATAAAAACACAGGAATTATCACGTTGGAAATAACAGTTTCACATGATGTTGCTATTTTAAAATGTATTGATCTCTTATTCATGCTGGGGAATTATTATTTAGGATTACCTACAACTAAATAAAAATAATAATACGATATAATGTGATATAAAACAACATTGTCCCATGATTAAAGTCTTATTTTCAGTAAAGGAACAAGGTGAATCTTTTCCCAAAGCATATGAAAGATTGTGAGGAAAACTATTATTGCATGACACTGCCCAATCATGCACAATATGTCCGTCTAGTCTTAAGGGTTAAAGCAATGGCTCCAAAACTGACACCTTACACATTGTCTCAAGTATACCTTTCTTTACAATAGCCAGATCCTGTCAACAACGTTTGTCACATGCCATAGTCATCTGCTGTTTAGGGTTTGGGGAGAAACATTGAGGGGAATTGATTGAAATAAATTACTTAAGGGTTTGTTCTGGAGCAAATGTCCACTCTCCTCATGGGGGAGTAGTCTTCTGGAGTGTGGCTTAGGAGTTGGGCTAGGTACAAAAGGTGCACTAGATAGCTATATTGCCTAATTTGTGGACTAACACACATTCAAATGATTGAATGCAGTTCCCTATATCGCTATTTTTCAAGCGACAGTAGCTGTCAAGCCAAAAACCCTTAATGAAAAGATATATAGCAGCCGCCCATTTATTTCCCCCTCCATGTCCCTTTTTGGCTTTGTAGCTGTTAACCGTCTCATGAGAAAATGAAGTACTTTTTTTATCTTTGAATGAATCATAGATACATATACTTCCTCCAACACACTGAAGGAAGCGTCAGCAGCAGAATGTGGGATTCTATTGTGATTACAGAGTTTTCTGAAAGGCCGGCTTTGTTGTGCAATAACTGACAGACATATCAAGTATGTACACACACAACACCAACTGTAGAACCACCACAAAACGGACGTATACTGTGTTTTCTGCCCACACACAGGCAAATACAGGGCGTGGGCCTGCAAGTGTGTTTATCTCTTCTACGGTTCATTGAAAATACACACTGTTCACACGAAGGAATGTGTCTCCTTTAGGTGACAAAGTATCACACACACAAAAGGAAAGGCTGGATGCACTTCCTGGGACTGTAACTGAAGTTTTTGCATGATTACACACACAAATAAACCACACACCCTTTCCTCTGTGAGACTTTGTAAATTAGATTCTCTGCAACACCCGTGCCTGATATTTCAATCAAAGATAACAAAACAGCTCTTTCACAAAAACACACAACAGGCGCCTCTCACCTGCTTCATGTCGCGTGAGATCCATTTGGAGTCGATGGGGCCCAGAGAGAGGCAGGGCACCATGTGGTTGAGGACCTTTGCCATAAAAACCTGCAAAAGAAAAGACAAAAAGAGCATTTCAGTTTATTTACATACTCCTGATAAATATTCCTATCCCTCTGTATTTTATTTCTCGCCATATTATTGTACAGTAATGAATAATTGGAATATTGTATTATTCCCCTGTGTGCTTCGACTGTATGTTTGCATCAATTTCTTCTCGCAAAAAAATGACAATAAATAGAATTTCTCCTCCTCCCATGCAGATTGGGTTTGACCTTGACAATTTGACACACTTGTAATATGTGAGATTCACTAAGAGATGGTTGATGCTGCTCAAGTGGCACTGACACTGATGCTTGCCCGTGAAAGGCACTACATACATGTCAGTATTAGAGTCATCACACACAGCAGGGCTAAGTGGAGTAAGGAGAATGACTCTTGGGTTAACTGACTGAACAGTGTGACTGCAGTATGACTTAAAGTGGAGAGGAAAAGAAGAGAGCCAAAGTGAAGAGCGGTGGAGAGAATGAAAGTGGTTTACCTTGAACGGTGTGGCCGACTCCGGGTTCATCTGGACCATCGGAGCGATCAGAACCACTCCAGAGAATTCACTGGGCCTCTCACAGGCCGTCAGGATGGAGATAGCACCACCCTGAGTGGGAAAAAGCAGAGAATATTTAATTAGAATTGCATGTTTTAATCTCTTGATTTTGGAATCATCTTTAGTACTCTCTTTCTATAACTCTTTATCCCTGACCTCAGCTACAAAGCAACCAACATTACTGCGTGCAGGGTATACAAAAGTGAATCTTATTCAACAGACAAACACAAAAAAGTATGAGTTTAACCACCAATCTAAAAATACCAGCATTGAAATTTTACTTCAGTGGGTCCATATCACATGCGTTTTGCTATTCATTGTGATGTCAGGTGACCATAAGGAGTATCAGCTTGTATAACTGACAGTCATGTGACCTGAAATCAGCATCTCATTGGTTGCTTTGTGAAACAGTCTTGCAGCAGGTAGGCCTTTCAGTTCATTTGAATACTTTTACATTTATTGATTTTGTTACAATATAATATATATGATGGGAATTGATCTGACACCTGCACAGAGAGCTTGAAATGAAGGTCATGGTAGAAGTTGATTTTTGTAGATTATTAACTGTAAAACCCGCCACTGGTGAAAGTTTCCAGATGGACAATATCCAATCAAAGACGTTTTAAAACAGAAAGAGCAACAGGCAAAGGCGTAGTAGAGTTTCAAATCAAAGCAGTTACAAAAGTTTAAAACTGAAGAAAAAACATGTCTCTGTGTCGGGAATATGATATAAGCTCCTTTTTCGACCTGTAACAAAAGACAGGGAGTGTCTTAGCAAAGTAGGTGAGAGATTGTGATGCGAGGAGCGGTGGGAAAACTCCTCAGAGGTCAAGACGAACATAAAACAATCCATCTTTTGTTGAGACAAGCGTGAATTTCCACCCCGCTCTTTTGTGGCAGCTGCTCCACAGACTGGGAGAGAGATGTGAACGTGAACCCAGGGCCCCAGGGCACAGCGTGCCCCGTGTGGCTGCAGCTAACAGCAACGCAGGGCCACACCTTGGCAACGCTGACATTAGGGATTGTGATTTGAATCCTGTGATGTTAAGGCCATGATAATTAGCAGCTCTGTGGCGGCCGGGAATCAAATCAATTTTCTACGGTTCACTTTGTCATGGTTTCTCTTCTCAGATGGAGCAAGTGCAAGTGTGCGTGGGCACAGACACACATGCACATGATTCTGCATAGGGAAATCTGTCCCCACTCTCTCTCTTCTTCTAGAGACTAATTGGCTTCAACTTTGTTTATGTGAGCGTTCTTTGTCACTTGTTTGAATATTCATCAGGCTGGGGCCAATGACAGGAAAAGAGGCTCTGAGAGATAAAACATTTCCCACCAGAAAATCTCCCTTTCTAAAGCACTCACTGCATATGCCCACACAAAAACACACAGAGTTAGGAAAAGAGGCCTGGTTCTCCCTTGCACACACATTCCAACACATACTAAAAAAACACATGAGCTCACACGGAAAAATCCACGTGTAAACACCAGGACTCGATCAAATGGGGACTTTTCTGCTAGATGATTTGGTTAACACATCACATCTGATTCTGGTTAAGCATGACTCAATGTTACTTGGTACAAAAGATCATTCGGGGTCATGCAGACACAACCATGTACTGTACATCGGGCTCCTATGATATATAGAGAGATAAGTGTGAATAGGGGAGAGAAAGAAAGGGACAGAGAAGTCCTTTAAGAAGCTGATTAAAGGCCTCTCTACACTTTCTCTCTCTGAACATTGGTTAAAGACGATGAATACTTGCATTGTATGCATTGTCAGCTGATAGTGGGTGGACTCAAACTGTCAACAATTCCCTTAGGAGCCAACATGCTGATAAAATATAGACTATACAGCTAAACAGCTGGCATACTGACATTGCAAGATCTAATTTTGCTTGATATTAAATAAACTAGGGAAATATAACAGACTTGGAGAGAGATCGATGGTTGACGGCTGATCCAAATATATCAAGGCCCTAAATAGTGATGAAACATTATATAAAACTCTGGCAGGGAAGAAGTAGGACAAATGAGTCTCGGACAGAAATATTTATGTAGAAGCACAGAGAGGAGGAAGAGTGAGAGTGAGAAGGAGCCACAGATGAAGGCATTTGTCAGCATTCCCATGAGCTGATACAACACCAACTAACTGCTCCAATTATTTAATCACGGCTTAAACAAATACGATGCAGAGAAAACTGTGAAATAGTGTTGTTTATGAGACACATAAGCAACACATTTTCTAACTCTTACTTATTTTGTAAGTATTTATCATTTCACGTTTTAACTCTCTAGCCCAGGGGTTTGCTGAGAACTGTGGGTATTTTCTGACTAATTCTTCACGTTCTTCAGCAGTATTTTCAGATTTATAAACTGGAATTATCACTTGTTTTAACAGTCGTGCTGTGAATGTCAATGCTACAAGCTAAATGCTAAAATCTGATTGCCAACATGCTAACAATATGGATGCTATAATGCTGATGTATAGGCTGTGTCTGAAATCACTTCCTCTTTACTATGTAGTCCACATTTTTACTTAATTAAAAATCCTTTGAAAGTTAATACAAAATATATAAAGTATACATAGCCCTCAAATGTAACAAATAAAGCAGTGTCAATGACTTACACACTACTTTTTGCTAACAATATCACAATGCACTTGCTAGTCATTAGTAGCATCAGTTAGAGTACAATTCAACTGTTGACCTGATTAGGCCACTAGATAAGAAGTCAAAGGATAGCCGAAGTATTAGGATTCATGCTCTGGCCATGGTATATGTCTTTGCATAATTTCTTGCCAATCGAGCAAGTAGATATTAAGATATTTCTGTTGGGACCAAAGCAGTTAGCCGAAAGAAAGAATGACATTAGCAATGCCAAAAGGCTAAGCTTAAAAAGCCAATTTAAATGTACACAAATATTCCTTACTATGAAAGTACATTTATTTTCTTCAATGTTATCAGGAGAACTGCTGACACTTGTTTAAACCTTTTTGATTAAAACAACTACTGGCTTAATTATAAAATGATATTGCCGTACACCAACAAAAAAACGTTTTTCTCCTGAGCGAAGTTTGAGGGGTTTCGTATAGGGAGGAGTTTATGTTTGAAAAATGGGTCAAACAAACAAATAAAAGTTGCGTTGACTTGCTTTAACTAACATATATTACTAAAGTTACATTAGAAATGTACTTATTTGAATTAAAACCATATTTCCTTTATCCAAAACTAACCAAGTTGTAATGTGCTTTTGTTTTGTTTACATTATCAATGTTTACCACATGTTTTATACTTCATACATTTATAGCAGACAGGGTTGATGATGTGTGAGTTTAGGACATCTTTTATCACATAATCTACACTGTGTCCGGGCCGCTAACTGCAGTCTCCGCAGGATGTTATCATTGGATCGCAAATACTCTAGAATCCACAGGGTGTATCCACATGTTCTTCTAGTTGTTGCGTCATCTTCGCCTCTTTAAACAAAGACTCATAAAAGCGGAGAACACATAACAGAAACAGGATGAGGAGCCACACAACTGGAAAGCTGGGAAATGACGGCTGTGAAAACACACAACACAACATTTCATCTGGGTTGGGCTTCCCAAACTTTCATGTCTGTGTTTCATTTGTTTCCAAGAAAAAGAATTAGAAAATCAAACCAAAGCAAAAGAATGACAGGAAGTACTATGGGGGGAAAAAGAAGACAGGAAGTGAAAGTAGGAGACGGTAAGACAGGTGGACTTTGACGTAGACTGGGGATCAACAGAAGGAAGGAAAGACCAAAGAGGGGATGGAAACAGATGAGCAGAGAAGGAGGAAATGCGGGAAGTGCTGCTGTTGCTTTGGTCAGCTCTGCCTTAATATTTATAGACTTTGACATCTAAACAGACACATCATCTGGGATCCCACAGTTTCATTTACAACTCTGTTTGTCCTCAGATTGTTTTGAACGCAGCATCAGTCTTTATATAAAGACAGTGCTCCTACAAAGCTAGGGCCATAAAAGGATGCGAAAACAGACTCCCAAATGAAATGGATCAGTGTTTAAAAGTAAAAGCTGAACTGAAGGCGTAAATGTAGAAGCCTGTTAAATGTAAAACACACAAGGCTCAATAGCAGGACAAGGGAAAACAATGCTTTACATGTGACTGGAGCATTGGATAATAAAAAAGACAAAGCTACATTGTGCTTGGGGACTGCATACAGTACACGAGGAATAATAAATACACTCAAAGTATAAACCTATATAAATTGTGCCAAGGTTGCTCACTCAAAGGGTTGCCTTGAAGTGAAATGCTTCGAACATACAGAGATACTGTATATATTTTTTCCATAATGTAGATACATTTCTTTCAAAGCTTGTCATATCTTCTGAGAAAGACATTTCTGGAGCCCACTGAATCACTGCTGCGCTGCGAGATAACAAGGCTCCATGCGTCTCGCCGCAGAACAGTTCTGTAATGAATTTGCTTTTATCCTCTGTGTTCCCGGCCTGAAAATACACTTCCAGCTAAAACGCTATAAACTGTGTATTTGTGTTTGTACTGAAATATGTCTGACTAACGCAGGTGGGACATACTGTGTCCTGCAGCACATCATGTTACTTGTTCTGTGTCAGTGAAGTTCCTTTATACAACATGAGATATTATGTTTTCAGAACGCAAACAAAAACATGTTTGCGTTCTGAATGAATGCAGAGTCTAAGCGGCTTGTTATTCTTACAGAAGTGAGTTCATGGGAGTACAAATTGACTGGACCTACAAACACTGACAGTGACCCCTTATTATGTAACTCATCAATACTGTTTGTTTTCTGCTGGCTGTACTGAGAGTACTAACAGTGAGAGGTCATGATGTTCATTGCAGCGCTGTGACAAATTGAATAAACTCATCTGTTAAAAAACATTCCCTGGTCAGCCTTAATGGTGATTGGTAACATGTGTAATTCATTTCTTTCTTAGTGAGAGTTCTGGATCAACACTGTCTGTAGCTCTCACAAAGACACATACTTAACACTTATAACACAATTTGATACTGAAATGGAGCTCAAATGGGAAATAAATAATGTATTAAACTTAGCTTAGCATAAAGACTGAAAACAAAGGAAACAGTTAGCCTGGCTCTCCCTAAAGTTCAACATCCAAATAAAGACTGAGATTGTAAGACAATTTGTGTTTCTTAACAACAGTAACTTAATGTGTTTCTTCCGTTTGAATAATGAATGAATTGTTCAACTTGATTCTCATATATTTAGATTTATTTAATTTGTCTGTTTATATCTTGAATGTCTTTGACTTTTGGACTATTGCGTCGGTAAAAACAAGTTATTACTTGGGCTGAAGCAGAAGTTAGAACAAAATATGTACTGCTTTTTGCCCTAGATTAAATGAAGGAGATTGATATCACTCTCATGTTTGTACATAACATCTAAAGCTACTGACAGTAGCCTGTTAGATTAGTTTAGCAATGAGACTGAGTGGGAAACGACAGAAGGGATTTTGTTACAATTAGACAGGGCCACGTCGCCTTTTTTCGCATATCTACGCAACTGAGCTGCTGGCTGTTACTTCATATTTTACACATAGATATGAAAGTGTTATTGATGATCTGCCAGAGAGAAAATAGGTGTATCAATGTCAAACTATTTATTAAAATAATAAATAGATTCAGAGAAAAGTAATTGACACAATAATGAAAAAAAGCCCATATTCCTTAAATAAAAACAGAAACAGATTGCAATGTGTTAAGACAACTACTGTTGTATAGTATAGTATACATATTCCACTACATATGGAAGCCTTTAATTTAGGGTAAAGGTGAACCCAGACACAGAGGGTCAGGTGAACGTAACCCGACATGTTAGCTAGATTCCTTGTCAGACCGGGTAAAGTGAGCACACTGTCTCCTCTCCTTCAACAAATACACACACTCTGCCCTTGTACCGGTCACTGAACCTGCTTCTGTGTTGTTGGAGGTTTTCAGCGACCAGCGGTACAATCTGTGTCACTGTGTGAAAGGTAAGCTCACTGTGAAGCACCACGAGGCAAACCTAACCTGAACTCTTTCCTGCAGATGAAACATGGAGTTTTTAATAATACAGAAATGATGGATCTGTTGGTTTTACAGTTATTTCTTAAACAATTCCTGTGATATTAAACCACCCTGATTGTATTGTTATTATGCAGTCATGTTTTGGTGAACACCAAGGACTTGTTTTTCATGGCTGACTAATTTAGGACATAAAACCACTTCCTATTTCAAGAAGAGCGTGTGCCATTTCTTTCTTCTAAATGTCACGTGTCGCAGAAAACCTCTCATCTATTTTTTTCATGTATTTTATTTTCCAAAAGCACTCGCCCTTCAATTTCATGCAGCTGTTTCTAGTGTGTGTGTGTCAAGCACACTGAACCAGCAGCTCTAAAACAATAGCAAGTTATTTCATACCAAACAAAGCTGATACACAAAACTCAACAAAAGCATCAGAGCTTTTTACAAAAAAATACAATAATGTGATTAGAATAAAACACAACCCAATGACTGACCCACAGTTAAATCTGCCATTAACAGCTTAAAGGTCACCTATTATGCAAAATGCACTTTTTAATGTATTTTATATATAAATACGTGTCCACGGTGCGTAAGGAGACTCACAAAGTGTCAGAAAATACAACCCTCTCTCTTTTCCCCCTTACCCAAATCTCTAAAAACGGGGGTACAACGGAGCTGATCCAGATTTGCTGCGGTCATGACGACGTTACTAAAATGTTGGCTGGCTTTACATTGATCTCCTGGCAACGGTCTGCCCACGGCCCTATCGTCCCCTATCAGAAATTCGCTGTATCAGAAACAATGCGCAAGGTGTTTTGGAAGAAATATGGTCTGTGTTTAGATTAGCAACATTTAGCGCTTATAAACAGCACTTTAGTAACAGGGCTGAAATAGAGGGGTATGAGGCAGGGCTAGAATGGGTGATCTGTTTGGCAATTTGAGCAAAACCCTTCAGAGACATGTTTTGTATAGATATGGCCCTATAATATATTGTTCAAATATAGCATAATAGGTGAGCTTTAATGCTTCATGGAAAGTGTCCTACCATGGAGTGACCGACGATGAAGACGGGCAGGCCCGGGTGGCGGGATTTCATCAGGTCAACGTGCTGCAGCGAGTCTCTGATGTATACCTGGAAGTCTTTGATATTCATCCTCTCTCCTTCACTCTGACCATGGCCAACTGTGTGGGGAAGAAGGGAAGAAGAAGAGACTGGTGTGAGGAAAGTTATACATCTGGAGTATATATTATGATTTTCAAGAGGTTTTTAATATCTCACAAAAGGCAAAGGAGGAAAAAAAGCCGGGTAATTCCTTGCTTATCTATCATAGCTTCAACACTTATTTCAAAACACAATTTGTCATAGGGAAAAGATACAAATACAATTAACTTTTTTCCAGTAGTTGGCTGTATTACATAAACACTGATATGCCCTGCTCTATCAGTGGGGAGAAGGATGTGCACGACAAATAAGAAGGCAAAGAGGGATCATGTGACTAATAAAGTGAGACACTTTATGCACATTAATGAATGAATTATAAAGTCAGCAAAGCGTTTTTCAAATCAAACAATATTTGCATCTTCATTTGATAATATTATGTTTTTTTATTATGATATTGTGTCATTTATGATTATCCTTTTCCTTGTAGTGTGTTATTTTTTGTGCATGTAAATGGTCAAACGTCACTCCAGAGGGAGTTAAGAAGAATAGCCGCTTTCACACCAAGTACTTTGCTGTACTTAGTTCCCAGCACTTAGTTCCCCCATGGAACTAAAGAGCAGATTGCGTTCACACTGGAATAAGTCCCTGAGGGAAGATTACGCAAATGAAGCCGCTGACGTCACTTCTTCTTCTTCTGCTTTGGGTTTACTGGCAGGCAGCAAACAACTTCACGGCGTACAGAGAGCCGAAGTCCCTCCCTTTCCGGTGGACCTCCATGGGACATTATTTAGGAAAAAGTATGTATTGAAGTCAATGGAGAGAGAAAACGTATCTTTCGATCCCGTTTGAATTGTGCCACGATGTTTGTCAATCTTAAAAAATAATTTCCATGTCAAAAAAGTCACAGTTTGTCGTAAAACTGTTGAAATATAAGACTATGAAAAATACACAACTAGAAAGACTACAAATCCCAGAATCCCGGTCCCGCATGCTGGCTCTTACGGAACCGACTAACTCCCCTTTTGTGTATGTACAGCTCTCAACATGCCCAGACTTGTAGTGATTTTCACCTCTTTTAATACTTTTCGCCTCATTCTGAAAGAAAGAAGTGAAATATGCCAACTCGACGGCCGTCTTGGTGTGTGGTGCGAGATGGGAGATGTAGTTCATTGAGCGGTTTCACACAAAGAAAAGTGTTACTTCACAGTTTTATGACACATTTTTATTTTTTTGACTTGCAAAATTATCTTTTAAATTGACAAACATCATATGTGGAATTCATGGCACAATTCGAACGGGATCGAAAGATAATATTTCTCTCGCCATTGACTTCAATACATACTTTTTCCGAAATAAGGTCCCATGGAGGTCCACCGGAAAGGGAGGGACTTCGGCTCTCTGTACTGCCACCCGAAGTCCCCAGCCGGAAGTCCCCGGAGTTGGGGACTGGCTTCAGTAGAAGCTGCTGGGACTCCCAGCAGCTTCTACTGAAGCCTTCCGAGTAAATCGCCAGAACGCCGACACCTCCTCATCTCCACCGCTCCCATGTTTGTTTTTGTGTTGCCATAAATTAGTCTCTCTCCGTTGGTGCGCTGGGCTAATGCTAATGCTAATAATGCTAATGCCAGCAAATACAATTGGCAGCTTCACAAAACCTTTCAGAGTTTTACGGGGCGTGGTTTGCAATTCGCCCAGCCAATCAGAAATTGGAACTTTTCTCTCCCCAGGAAAGTACCTGCTCTCTAGCAGGGACTGAAAAGGGGGGGAAAAGTTATCATGAACTAAGTTCTCTTTTTGGTGTGAACGCAAAATCCCAGGAACTATCGGAACTAAAAGGGAAAAGTACGGTGTGAAAACTTGAGAGAACTGGAGGGAAGGCAGGAGTGGGGGAGGAGGGGTGAGAGGAGGAGAGACAGACCAGACGAGACTAAGCCACAGGAGAGAGACATTTGACTGACAGATGGAGAGGATGGAAAATATCAATATGAATATGCATGTGTGTATGCATACATAGATTGTGTGTGTCTTCTCCTCTGAGGTTTCTGCAGCAGTGGCTGAGGGGTGAGGTGAGTTGCCTTGGCGACCACTGAACCAATAGCACCACTGAGCTCCTAAACATTGTGCAGCTCAGACCATCTCGCTCTGTAATCTGTGTGTGTATGTGTGTGTGTGTGCACATGTACACCATGAGGTCTAACGCTAAACACTTTTCTCCTCGTCAATACTGAAGCGTGTAAATCAATGTCCAGCGGCGAGCGATGCAGCACTGCAAACTTCAGATCGATGGAAACCATATCCCCTCCCACTTCAGATCAATTACCCCACACTCTACTGAATACACATCTTCTGTTATTACCCTCCAACACACACAAATAGTCACACATGGGCAGACACACACAGACGTGGCAGAACTGGGATCGCCTGGAACTGTGCAATATGCAAACATCAGGGCTGATATGATGTTTTTTAGATTTTCTTGGTAATGAGTTAATTGGATTTCACATATGATTATATAACAAAGGCGGCCCAGGTGACTCATTTTATCTGCGGCATGAATTAGATCAATTTTGCACGCTTATTACATTAGAAGGTGGCTGCAGCTTAAGAAAAAGGCACAATTGATTTGTATGGAGAGAAATAGATAATTAAAATGTCTCTTGGAAGCATTTGATGGGGACTATAGGGGCCCACATTTCCTGTGAACACTCACTGTATATCGTATGATAAAACGTGTTCAGCAGATTATAATTATTTTCATTTTTGTTTAATTTATTGATGATTTGTTGTTTAACTGAAACAATATTTAATCTCTAAAATGCAACAAAAGTTATCTTTTTAGCTCATCTTAAAGAAAATCTATAAAACCAAAATATGTTAAGCCATTATTTGCATCATGTAAACATAGAATAACTGGTTCTATAATGTACTACAGTATCTACATGTAGCTGTAAGAAAGTGTTAATACATTTATATTTTTAACTATTACTCTGTGGGAAAATATGACCAGAGGCTGATGTATAAACAGACTATACAATATACTCTTAATAATGCTATTTGATGCTGACACACTTTTTATTAATGTGATTTTCATGGCGTACTGATTGCTTGGTGTCTGAAATAAACTCAATCAAACACTAAATAAACTACTCTTTTGTCCTAGTAGCGGTCCCAAGCCACTTTAATCCAATCAAAGCTGTGTGAAAACATTTTTTGCACAAACTAATTAACTCACAAATTGCCAAGCCCTAATCTTATTAACTGTTTATAAGTTTTTTATAATGTAATGAGAGAGGAACATTCCCAGACATCATTAGGCAGGTCCTCTCATTGTTAACTCTGCCTCTGCATAAACATCCACTTTGATTATTTCACCACTTCTTGATCTTGATAATAAATTGTTGTAGTCTGCGTGATATGTCCACATTTCTGTATCCACAAGGCCTAAATGTTCACTGTGTGACGGCTAAATACAAAGTTTGCTCGTCTGCAGTTGGATTTGGAGTTAATTAAGCAGCCAGCAGCTCTTTCTGGAGGTTGTTCTCTGGTAAATAGCTGCAGTGTGGGACAGATAGAACACACCTCCAGTATGTGCAGGCTGTGAATAAATAAGAGCTCTGTGTGTGTGTGTGTGTGTGTGTGTGTGTGTGTGTGTGTGTGTGTGTGTGTGTGTGTGTGTGTGTGTGTGTGTGTGTGTGTGTGTGTGTGTGTGTGTGTGTGTGTGTGTGTGTGTGTGTGTGTGTGTGTGTGTGTGTTACTGAGCTATAGATAGATGAAAAACTAGTGTCTCTGCCACTGGGACTTCCAGTTCAGTATTTTTCATTTAACAGTGTGACATTTTACTGCGAGTCACAGAACAAACTGCTCCTGTGTGAGCAGGCTCAGTCATCCTCATCACTCACTCTCTGTTATCTCACCTCTGCCTGCTTTGTATTGAGATGACTACCTCTGTAAATATTTCCACATTTGCAGCTGAGACTTTATTTCTTTGTCTTGTCACACTCTGTTTCTATCTGTTGTTTGCCTATGGATGACTCCATTCTTCACATGATGTTATTTTCGCAGGCTGATGAGTTCACACATTTCTGCGGTAACTAGGACCTGTTAACACCTCACATTGAAGACTAAGGCCCAGGCTCCACGGGAACGCATACGGCAAAACGCACAGGATTAACGCAAACGCAATCGCCAAAAAGCTTCCGCCCACACGCAATATACACCGGATAGTGTCTGCCCACATGAGACAGCTCCGTTTAGATCCAACCGCTGGAAAAGCTGCAGTACATATGCCGAGCCTGTACGGCGCTGTAACTTCCTCCACAAAAGCAGCAACTTCCTCCACAAAAGCAGCGAAGAAGAATAGTTGTCATGGCTGCACTTCTGTTTATTCTCCGCGGTGGGGGCCGAGGGAACCGGGCAGAGTTTTTCGCCGGTCAACGTGTGTTAAAGTTTAAATCTTCATGCTTCCTCATGCAGCAGCTGATCCAGTAAGTAAACCCGACAGTAAAAATAAACATATTTATAACTAGTTTAGGTAGTTTGAGAGGTAATTAAAATAGCTAAGGGTGATGATCTGACTTGAAGTGTGTGTTTTGCTCCCGCTGCATCACAGCGGAGGAGCTGCGTGTCTCCGTCCTGTCAGATTAGACTTCACTCGCGTTTATGTCCATATCGAGATAAAGATAAATAATCTGAATTCAGTGTGCAGTGTACTTTTGCGGGGGGTGAGCAGCAGAGGCGGGGAGAGGCGGGGCTATTGCGTCGTCATTATCAGAAACGGATGACCGTATAGGCTACCACACGGCCCCGTTGGACCCCCCAGAGCGCTCCGTTCCCAGATCTATCCACCTTTGGACCCGTTGTCGTTTGCAGGGTCCGTTTCTACCGTTCCGTTACGGCGTCGTGTAGCTTAAAGGGCTATACGCAAGAGAAATATGCGGATTCAACCCGTTTTCGTTCCCGTGGAGCCTAGGCCTAAGACCCCGTCCACACGGAGATGATAATCAGTAATCAGCTGCGAACCGCTTCAACACGTGTATTTCGGTTTATTCACGGCATTCATTTAGTTATTCTACAGCAGGGCTTCTCAAACTCCGGACCAAGGTCCGGATCCGGACCGAACTGCAAATCAATCCGGACCGAACCCTGTGTCCCATTATAAAAAAAGAAAAAAAAAGAATTCTGATTCTGATAAATTAATGTACATCATCATGTACGCGCGTCTTGTGTCTGACGCGTTGTGAGAATGAACGTGCATATAGATTTACTTGTGTGCGCGAGCGTGACACGCATTGCAGACCGCGACACGCATTGCAGACCGCAAGTTAACCGCAAGTTTACCTTGACTTTCTAATGCTTCTAATGCCTTTTTTGCCGAGGTTCAAGGCATTGACTACAGACAAACAGTGCCATTTCTCCCACTAGTTCAAGCCACCATACTGTATGTATGTATTGAATGTGTGTGTGTATACAGGGGCGCCGTTTACCGACAGGCAAGGCAGGCAAGTGCTTGGACCAGAAGGGGGCCCCCAAAGAAGGTAGATTAAGAAGGTCCACAGCAACGACAACATGAAACACCCTTTAATTTACTGCAACGACATGTCGGGAAACCCCCTCAAGGGGGCCCCATGCATAGCGCGCCAAGAAACTGCTTCTTAATTTCAGTTTCGTTTCTCCGCTCGGGGGGGGACTTTACTGGCATTGATCCGGACCAGTGACCTTGTATAAAGTTCACAACTGGACCTTTAATAAAAAAGTTTGAGTACCCCTGTTCTACAGTATTGTTGTTTTATAGTTATTTGTTAATGTATACAACCCAATTTGTGTTCTTTGAAATTGAAAAGGATATTGCATTGTGTTTGTTACTTTCGTTGCAGTTGTATATGTGTCTTAAGTGTAATTTGGCTTGGCTTCGTATTTTGTATGGACATGCTTTTATTTTGAAGGAGAGTTAGCGCTGTTGACAGGAAGTTGTTGTTGCTATGGAAACAACGTGACGGAGATTAATGGAGAAAAAGTTATATCTACATATCTACGATAACGTTTATGGTTAAGTGTTAGCACCCCCCAAAGAGACACAAGCTCTTACGTTGATATTGGAGTTTTCAATAAATTCAATTTGGCAGCCACAGTGCAGCGCGGCTGCCAAAAAAAAAGAAAAAAGAAATAAATTACGAATATCCGAATAACGAAATTGAAACCTGAATAGTACTCCAACGAACGAATATTCGGATATTCGGGTACAGCCCTAACTCCAATCCACACTAACATTTGTGATGTTTTCTCCACCTACACACACACATTGCGGCAGAACAATAGAACAATATACCACAGGGCCTAATTCGTTTACAGGCTTTGTTCCCCCAACAATTAACCAGGACCGTAATCAGGGCTTCCTTTGAGGCTAAGCTATTGTCTGTTTGAACTGCCGTGAGTGCAGGTGTGTGTTTTAATGTATTGTAATGTGTTTTTGGGACTCACCGTGGTCGTGCGCAAACGCCAGCATGGACAGTTCCTTCAGTCTTTGTGCCATCTCATCATACGGCCCACAATGCTCCCCGGCTCCATGGGCAATATACACCAGAGCCCTGAGAGGAGGAGAGGACAGAGTTAATTTAAGTGTTAACAAAAGCAGGCTTCCTTAAACCTCTATTTTGTGTGCTATCTTGCACAGATACAAACAAACAGCAGAAGTTTCCATTTATCTACAAGGAAGCGTCATCTTTCCTTGACTTATCAAAGGGTTCCAGTGGAGAAAGCTTGAAGACATATCTCTTTCAGTACAATACGAGGAGCAGAATTGTACCATAAAGGACAAAAAGGGAGAACAAAATGATGCAAAGTTTTGTGTGTGAGCTTCTTTCCTGGTAACATGTAAATACATCTCTGTACGTCATTGCTTTGACTACTTGTGTTTGAGAGAGATAGAGAGTCAGACAAAAATAAGGGAATGTTAGTAGAGATAGCAGCTATCATCCATCTGTCTCTCTATCTGCCTCAACACGCCCTTCCTTTCCAGCTCAAAGTAAACACTGAGGGAATCCAGTAAACAAGTTGTGACACACTAATTCACAGAAATCAACTTTGACTGTTTTCGTGTAAACTTAAGTTCTGTTTTCGGAGAGTATTCATTAAAACATTCAGCAAAATGGAGCCTGTATGCGAATGTTTCTTCAGAACAGCTGATTCAGTGAGTCATTTTCCAACCAGAGGCATAACCAAAAGTTAAAAAAGATTAAATATGCCGCAGTTTTCCTGTTGCAACAGAAACTATTTTGTAGTTGAGAAAATGATTCAGTTAATTGCACAAGAATTTCCTTTCTCACACAAGTGACTATAAACCACTTCTTGGGTTGGGTTTATGGTCAGCAGCTCAATTTTGTTTACCCACACACTGCTCATGGGGACATACTATATTTCTGTATCTTATATCTCGGCAGCTGTTTCAATTAAAATTCAATTAACAGTAATTTTTCAATCTCCTCCAGGCCCACTTGAGTCCAAACATAACTAAGCTGGCTTTAAAGAGATTTTGGAAGGTTGTTGAAACAGATGTGGTTAATTGAGGTGGATATATATTTATATAAAAATGATGTATCAAATTCCAAAATGAAAACTGAAAGTGTGAAATGTGTCACTGCTGGGGAAAAACCTACGGATGACAGAGCTCTATGCGAGTTTCAACCAATTGTTTAATGAGTCTCACTGTTCTCATAACCCAAAAAGATTATTGAGATTAGCACCAAACAGCAGATTTAGGAACTAGCCGGTAAACAGACTGTTGGCCTTTAGCAGAGCCACAGATTTCCCTCAGGAGTTGGTAAAAACGGAGCTTGAAAAGAAGGAAATGATTACAAGAAATACAAGGAAGTAAACATTGTATTGTAGTATGTAGTTTAAGTGCTTACTGCTTGTGTTGTTCCTTAAACTAATAGGTTAAGGGGTTATAATATTGCCTACAGGTAATTGTGTGATATGTAAGCCAGGATAATTGGTCAATAAAGTCTTTGTCTACCTTTTCTTTGAGGTACCTCAGTCTCATTACACAATGCACCAAGCAATCTGTCAAACATGCCCCAAAGGTAAACTCCAGCGAGCACCGAATGTCAAAGGAAATGCTCTTTACACATAATAAGGCTCATTATTTAAAAGCTACCAGGAGAATCCATTGTTAATTTCACCTATTAAATCAATTTCAGCCAGGAAAGAGAGAAGAGATATCATGTAAAGCATACTCTTTAAAATAAATGGTGGTTTAACTTAATGTTCTCTCGGAAAGAAGAGACTTTTTTGCTAATTAATGCCAAGGCTGTGCGAGCAGGTCTGTAAAGTTTTACTTCCTCTATCAGTGCATATTAAGCAGGGAGCTGAACTGAAACCCTGCAGTGTTCCTCCTCTAAGCCGCAGTGCTGAGAAGCTTCAATCAGCAGCAGACAATTAGCCCAAATGTATTCAGCGACAGAGAAAAAGGGAAGGGAGTGAAACAGGGAGAAAGTGTGTGAGAGTGTGAGGCGGGTAGAATAAGAGTAGCTGTTCATCAGGCTTCATTATCAATTCTCCCGCTGCTCTTTCCCTCCTTTTAGAAAAGCCATGGCCTCGGGGTAAGACTTCCTCTGCACTTGTTGTGTGTGAACATGTGAGTGTGTGTGAATGAGTGTCTTTGTATAGGCACAATGTTCTGAGACACATGCAGAGGGGCAGCAGTGGGTGGAGCTAATCTGGCTTCATTGTAAAGATAAGTGTACAGTGAACCACACACTACAGTTTAATGTGACGTTTTTAGAGTCCTTTCTTTTTGAAGGCGTTATCCATCCATCATTCTCTCAGTACTTCTTTGTCTGCTTCATAACCTCACATTTTTCTCCATCTTTGGTTTCTCTTGTCAATTTCAATTGTAAGCAGAGCTGTCATGGACTAAAGAAAGCATTTAATATCTCTAACTCACAGTTTAGCAACAAAATCATTTGTAGATTTAATCGACAGATCAGTAAAACGGGTTTTCCCACAGAATATCCTGTAAAAGCACAACTTTGAATCTTGTTTTTACCAGAGATGTGCTTATAAGTTACTTTGAAATAATCTATTCAGTATGACATTTTTTTAAGAATGATTAAATAACTAAATAAATCTCAGTCGACTTAGAGCAAAATCAGGGCAGGCCTAATTATGAGTACCCTTGATTTGCAAGATAAAACATCAAATGATGACGGCAACATGCCTGGTGACAGCCAACAGCAGGAGATGTGAAATCTTTTTCTGAAGGATTTAATTAGCCATAAATCTGATCTTGACAGCAATCTGCACTCATTCAGATTCAGGCTTCTGCTGTGACAATATTCAGGCTTCTGCAGTATGTTGGCTCAGAACTGAAATGTTCCCACTTTGCTAAAAATTCTTCTGGCGAGGCTCAAGAGGCATTTGTCTGGAACAAGTGTTACTTCAATAGGCTGTGACATTTTAGCACTGCTTTACTGAGAGATCTACCAGACCCCTTTCTTCACCTGGGTGAACACATGCACTACATGCACTGTGGGCTCTGTCGGGTGTTTCTACAGACAAGACCAGGTATGACAGCCCTCTTAACATGGCAGCTGTGAAAATGTGAAGTGCCTTTTGACGCAGCAAAAATGTTCTAAAAACGTTCATTTGAAGGCAAAGCCGAATTGACAAATCACGATTATGTCAAGTATCTTTGTGCTGTTAATTGAACAGGGATGTTTTATTTGTAGGGCAGCATCTATTTATTAATTTGAGTATTGATACACATTTCCATTACTTTTTTAATTGAATGGTTTTAAAAGGCCATAAAAATGTGAAATCGTAAAATGGCCTATCCTATCACCATGGCTGTTTCTTAATTTGTCAAAAACTGATAAATGAAAATAAATAACTTGTTGATCAGTTGTCAAAATAGGATGATTTAATTTATGTTTATCAGTTAGTAGATTTCTTGAAAAATGGTTTCAGCCCAGGATACAGCTCACACAATAATGTTCTTTAGCGGATGTGTTTGCCTTTAAAATGGGATCATCTTCAAATGAACACTACAGTAATCTTTAGGAATACATGTGCGTTTCCACCTGCATGGTTATTCTCCCACCAAATGTTTTGGTTCCTTATCTGTGCAGCTGCAGGACTTTTATCTCTCAGAAACAAGAAAAGAGGCTTTTTTTAAATGTTCTAACTCATTATCTCTCTTCAGTCTCTCCCTGTCCTTCTCTTCTCCCATCTCTCATGGGAACTGGAGACCCACTTGTCTCCCACACTGGTTTCAGTTGCTGGAACAACATGGCTTATAACCAGCCTTATTAAAACTCTCGCAGAGTGAGACAGAGTCTGGTCCTCCCCCTGCTCTACTCAGAGCTACTCCAAACAACCGCAGACCCAAAACAAAGCCAAGACCCTAATCCCCTTAATGCAATGCTGACTGGCTGCTCCAAGATTATTGAGGAACTCACAGACCTGCCAACTGTGCTCGAGTGCCACATTCTGCACCTTCCACTGTGAATGTTTCACAAAAAGCTGAATATTTCAGGCATTTTAGGCAAGAGGCTGATGCGCAGAGACTCACACTCATAATGAGGAGAGACCAAATCCTTGTAGGATTTCTCTCACCTTGATGTGAAATTCTGTGACTTTTCCATTATTTTCCAAAACATAATCCATTTCATTTACATGTTTTTTTTTGTAAGAAGCAACAACCTGGCTATTTACCTCAGTTGCGCTCACTGCTGAGACCTCATAACCACCATCCAGAGCAATAAACCTGCAGAGCTGTTAAGATCTGCTTTATTCCTGCAAGGGGACCCACTAATTGTCTGCGATCACCATAATTACAAACATCCAATGGTGAGGAGCTTAAAAATTCAACTATAAATACAAATGGAAAGTATGTCTGATGGCTGTTATAGTCCCCTTAGTAAGCGTTTATACTCCAATTGAACAGATTTGATGGTATTTAGGAAGCTCATAGCTCAACAGTTGAAAAATATTAATTAAATTATGTTTACATTTCATTACTTTGGAACAATGAGGCAAAGTTTAGTAAGGAGAACGTAATATATACTGTATCTGCAGTCATGTACATTATGTGCCTAAATTCTTTATTTAACCTATAGTTCATTTTGCGTTATGTTTTCTTTTCTATCAAACATCTTTACAGGCCTCTGAAACATGTAGATTATTGAGAAAAATGCACAAGAGCTTTGGTGCTAACTTTGACAGAGCTAAAGTGCCGCAAATAGAACGAATCCGGTAATCTGCATCATGGATCGTCATGAAAAGTTTAATAAAAATGTACTAGCAGATCGAAGTGTGTGATACTGTCAGTGTTTACAAGCAGAACAAAATCCCTTTTTCACCAAAGATATTTGACATGTGACGGCAGCCAAAGCACAGGTGTGACTGATCAAATGAATGATGGCTTAATTCCAAGCAGCTGATGAAGTTTGCTCTCTTTCAAACGGCGATGGCTTACTTGAGTTAAATGGAGACATTATTTGACTAATAGGACAGGTCAATGGCTGCTGCAAAAGGCTAATACCACCCTGCCTTTGTTGCACCTGATTGGGCAGGGCAATGTTTAATC